AATTTGGGTGTTCTGCTTTGAGAAGCGTAGCGACACCAGCGATATGAGGATAGGACATCAAAGTATTGGAGATTATGTTGAGGCCTGCACGTCTCAAATCTTTCAAGCTTCTAGTTAGAGGAGTTTCAGTAGGCCAAGAAGCAAGGATGTTCATGCCTGGAGCAAGAATATCAGGTTTGAGAATCTCTGGCTGGATAAAGTTAGGACCTCTCGATGAGAAGCAAGCGACTGTTGGAGCTCGGGTTTCTCTGATAACAGTTTGGTAATCGAATTGAAGCGAAGCTCTTGGATTTGAGGTTGAGTTTATGTATTTGATCAACTTCTGTGCTTCAAAGTAGCCTAATGTCAAACCTGGCAATGTGAATGCTTTAACGATAACTCCTTCGCCGCTATAATTGCCATTGAGTCTGATCAGACTGACACCTCTGGATTTATCCACTTTCATATCGAGCTCAACAAATGCATTTTCACATACGATGATCTTTTCCTTGACGAGTTGTGTTATTTCTGTATCAGACATCAAACATTGCGGCACATAAACAAGAGGAGCAAATCCTATAAAGTTTGGTGATTGCTGATATAAAGATTGTCCAATGTAGACTTCACCGTTCCCTAGCGTGAAACGCGTAGGGAACTTGCGATCGATTGATCCAGCGTCGATCGTCATGATCCACGGAGCAATGTTAACGAGAGATCCTTCATCTGGCCAGCTATTGCCTACAGAAAATGCGACAAAACGAGAGATCCTTCATCTGGCCAGCTATTGCCTACAGAAAATGCGACAAATATGCCATTGCGAACAGCAGCAAACGTGGCGATAGCGACACCAGCTATTGCCTACAGAAAATGCGACAAATATGCCATTGCGAACAGCAGCAAACGTGGCGATAGCGACAGCATCAACATCGAATTCTTCAGGTCCTCCACCAAGAGACAGAGAGAGGATATGAACACCATCATTGACTACAGCGTCGATGGCAGCAACTATGTCAGAGACCGGTCATCCATAGAATCCCCAGCAAGCTTTGTACATAACCAACCTGGCTCGAGTTGCCATTCCTCGAGCAGTTCCATTTGCAAAACCGAACAGATTAGCATTAGCGACCTGCAGTGGTCGAAGCGGTATGTGTGCCGTGGCCGACTTTATCTCTCCTCCCCTCCCTCCAAATCCCTCCGCCTCTCTCCTCCTCCTCCGTCCTCGCTGCCGTCAACTCCTTCCTCGACTCCTCCTCCTTCCTCCCCTCCTCCTCCTGCTCCGCCCTCGCGGCCGATGTCCTCTGCTCCTTCTCTCCCGCCACCGACCCCATTGCCAGCAACCACCTTTGCGCCCTCCGTTCCCGCTCCGATCTCTTCGCTGCCAGGCTCTTCTTCCCCTCCGGTGAAAACTCCAGCTTCATCAGCTTCCTCCGATTGTCTTTCGACGGCCCTCGATGTCAAGGTTTCAAGCACATGTGCCATCGGATAACGAAGATATCGGTGATCCCTGCTTCAGAGTAGGACATCATCATGGACACTATAGGCGAGATTGTGGCAGTTGATGGGTTCTTGATTGCTACTACACTGTACTCTGTGAATTGGTTTATGGTTTAGTCTAGGGTTTTGGCTTGGTGGTGGTTTGTTGCGAATGGAGGAGGAGGGAGGAAGAGGAGGGGGAGGTTGAAGAGGATGAGGAGGAGGAGGAGGGAGAGGATGAGAAGGATGAGGGAGAGGGGGTAAGAGCAGGAAACTGTATTTGATGAGGATTTTTTTGCAAAAAATCCCATCAGCACTGGCCGGAACAGTAACTCTGACCAAATTTAAGGTCTATATGGCGCCGGAGTTGAGAAAATATACCAATCTGACAAAACTGAAAGAAAATATACCAATTTGTCACCAAGCCTCTACAAAATATACCAATCTGGCCATTTTGCCTATCACTATATAAGCAATTCGATAGATGACTCGAATTTCTTTCTCAATTAAATAATCCCACGTGGAAGAGGTCATGAAGTACTAGTCCTTTCCGCTTTTCCGAAGTTCCCACGTGGCCTTTTTTCTCTTGGAGAGAAAGAAGAGGAGAAGGTCAATGAGCCAATAAATTGGTTTTAAGCTATTTTAAAGCAGAATTTATTAACCTTTGGAATTTTTTTGTGTTGATTTCATACAATGAAGAAGGAATATCTTCGCTGGCCAAGGGGAAAAGAAATCCCATCTTTCAAAGGCGCGCGGTTTGGTTGCCATGTGCGTCTTTGACCCGAAATCCATTGGCATTGAGCCTGTGCATGACTCGTGGTGCCCACGTTTTTGAGCTAGTTGTGCGCTCTCTCTCTCTCTCTCTCTCTCTCTCTCTCTCTCTCTCTCTCTCTCCTATATCTATATGGTATAGTTTGTTTCTCTCCATGAAATTAATCTTTTTTTGAACTCTTAGGCTTTTGTGAGAATTAAATTCTATTTGTTTTGAAGTAATTTTTGTTAGAAAAATTGTTGGATTTTGTTGTCACACGTACTTACTACACATAGGTTTGATGTATCAATAGCTATAACTATTGTTTTGGTATAAGTTTATTTTGTTTGAAATTAACATTTTATAATGACCAAGTTGATAGTAAGTAGTAAGACGGTTCTACAAATGATCCTTTCTATAACTAGACTATTATTGTTTTGAAATTTATACCTATAATTTATAGATTACAACTTTAACAGTTGTGGTTAGTAAGTATAGAGTTGAGTTTTATCTTGCAACAAACTTTGCTTTTCTTGCTAGTCAAGAGACTCATGCGGGCTGAAAATGTGTACTTTTGATATTTGGGCTATGGCTAAGATGTACCTCGGGCTTTTACGAATGGGGCTTTAGGCCTAGCTGACTTCAGACAAAGACTTGACAATGATAAGTTCAAGCTGGACCTTAGACATTTTCTACTACTACAGTATGGATGCTTCCTTGAACTTTATCTTTGGCAACTTATCTCAAAAACTATAAATCAATACACAAAATAAATATTCCTAAAAAAATAATAAACTAATAAATAAATAGACTCGTTACTTTAGTAGACTTTGAGCCTAGAGGTACTTTGGGCCCGTAACCAGCTGTTGTAGATTTGGAATTGGAAGACCCACAGCCTATCATAGAGTACACAAGTCCAGCCTCCACGTGAAGTCCATCCATAACCATTTTCTTCAGAATACCAATATGGTTACTCAAATTTATAGCTGATATGATATGGTTACAGATATGATTTTATAGTAAAATATCTAGAGCCGTATATAAAATATCCAAATACATATTAGTCATACTGTTACAATAGTTTTAATCCTTAGACTATGTAGTTGAGGTTAATTTTGATGATCAAGATGTCTAATCTTAGTTTTTTGAAAATATAATGAACATATTAATGAACTCTTTTGTATCACATGATCTACATATGTTTTTTTTCAATATTATCTAGTTTTTTCATATCTATTTTGTATCCGCATGCATATTCGCTCATATATCCGCATATTTATATGTATCCAATTTTAGTAGATATGAATATAAAATTTCCTTACTGGGGTATATCCATATTTGTATCTGTTATGGTATTTTCAGTCGTCAACTTATAACCCATTGTCGACAACAGCGAATATTCTCTGTCATGCACTATTCAGTCAACTCGACAATTAGGACAGTCAGGGTCGACCTAGTCGATTCGCTGAAATGACGTCTCGCGAAGTTGACTCGAATGACGATACTTGTCGGTCCTCTCATCAAAGGTGACTAATTAAGCATCCCTCAACCGGCTAATTAGCTAGCGTCTTGCTGCGTCGACTCGAAATGCGTTACTTCTCGGCACCCCTCAATACAAGTCAAAAGGCAACTTCGACCTCGAACACCCTGCTGACAATGCATCGACATCACATTAAATGCTGCAGGCGCCATCGTTTCTCCATCCTTGGCACTATTTATAACACATCGAACCATACCGGCTTCGTGCGCCGTCTATCTCATCTCATTAATGCCAAAGTGACAACGTCCATCCTGTGACTGCTCAACGACCGACACCTGTAAAGGCGATGTTGACTTAGCCGCCAGCTCAGGCTCGGCCAAAAAGACTAGACTACCCCTCTTGCATGGCTATAAAAAGGAAAGCTATTCCAAATGCGAAGTAAACAATTTCTTAGAATTTCTCCACTAGAGAACGCGTACAGTTCATCACTTTCCCACTCAAGTACATCACTGACTTAATAATCGAAAGACAACGGGGGAACTAGTCTCCGTCCTCTTACAATTTGTTACACGTGTAGGAAGGAAGCAACTCAACCCCAAAATCGGATATTCAGAGAAGTTAGTGGCTCCCACTCAATCTCACATTCAATACATCATATGTGTGATTATTAACATCAACAGTATTCATATCTGTGATAAGTAAGCGGATATGAATATAGTATATATCATATCCAAGCCGTATTCGGACTGAATGCAACCCTGCCAACAATAATCAGTTAACATAAATACCTAGAGCTTATGCCCCCGAGTTTGAAGAAAAATCATTAGTAAGGATTTGCATCATGTTCTCTCCTCACAAATCCCACCTCCTTCGTCCAAGAATTTGAATCCTCAATCATAATCATTTAATTACATTTCTATGGATTTATGGTTCATTTTTAATCTAAATAGCACTATATTCTTTCATGAATTGTGTTTTTTTTACCCATATAAGTTATATCATGCATTTGATGATAAAACAATAACGATCTAGCAAATAATCTCTTTAAGGATGTTTGTTGAATGAACTTTGAACTTTGTCATGAATCTCTATATCATGATAGCACTAACCAAAGTATTCTTTAGTTAGATATATCATATATGTCATGACAGCCACAAAGTCCAATAACAACAACAACTTGTAAATCAATTCCTAAAATAAAGTTTAGGAGCAAACATGAATTCCACCACTTAACCACTTCTTGTTCTTCTCTTTCCACTATAAAAACTTCAAAATATCCAATTTTCCCTCCAACAAACTCCACCTTCTTCCTAACTAACAAACACAACAAAAACAATCATTCCCTCTTCTTTTACTTCAAACTTACTCCCCAATCATTCCCTCATGCCATACTTCAATTCCTTCAAATCCACTCTTTTCAAGCCCTGCAAATTCTTCTCAAGGATAAAGCTCTCATTCAAAAGACCCATCTCAATTCAAACCTTGAAGAAGAAACTCCATTGTCACCGAAGAAGGAGATTTCAATCCATAAAATCTCTATTTAAGCCTTTCAAGAAATATAGAGAAGAGATGGATAGAGTGATGGAGCTAAAGAGCTTCAATGAGAGAGACCAAGCTCCCTTCCCTTCACCAATAACTCCGGCTTTTATCAAATTGATTGAGGAGGGTGAGGATGTTGATGAAGCATGTAAGAGTTTTGAGAATTATTTGGTGGAGATGATTGTTGAAGAAGGGAAGGTACGGGACTTGAATGATGTTGAGGAGCTTCTCTATTGTTGGAATAGCTTGAAGTCTCCAGTGTTTGTGGATTTGGTTAGTAGGTTTTATGGAGAGCTGTGTAAGGATTTGTTTTTGGGCAGTAATAAGCAGTATGAAATGCTTGATGATTCTATGCATGAATGAAGGATTAAACCAAGGTTTTTATGTGGGTGGCCGTGGCTTTACAATGACAATATGAGATGAGATGAACCCTTTTTCTTTCTTTTGTCTTCAGTCTTCCCCTTTTGAATTCTCTGTTCTTCTTTTCTTTATTTGGTGTTACAGTATAAAATTATAACATTTAATTCTCATCACAACTTTGGAGTTTTGTGGTAGAGCCCTTTAGCATGATATTAAAGCAGCTCATGTTCAAATCTTAACAGCCATAAATTTGTAAATCAGATTTAAAGAAAAGATACATTTTTCGAGTCAAGGTTTCATGAGGGTCATCGACCAACGGGGACTTATTAGACTAAAATTATAACTCTTAACTCTTACTATGACATAGGAGTTTGGTGTGGTAGCAGTGGACCCTGAATCTGTTGTACTTAAACAACATAGGTAATCAAATTGATTGCTAAAACTTGTTAACTAAATCTCTGTGTATTTGTGTATAAATTCTTTGTGTTTTATTCTTTTCTTTTCATCGATTATGGTTAGGTTTCTAGCTGCGTCGCTAAAACCGTAGATGCACCACGTTGATTGTTCCCTAGACCCAATCATAATTATGATGTAATTCTGTAGGGTTTCAATTTTTTGGGTTCTACCGGTCTGATAACATGTATTTGTTGGGGAATTTTACTCTCCCCGTCTACCACGATATGCACAACTCGAAATCCAACCCCAATCAATAAGATAGAACAACCACAATCAAGAAAAAGAACACCGAGATTTATGTGGTTCGGTCGACCAACTTCGATCTACGTCCACGGGGCAACAATACGAGAAATTCACTATGTATCAGGGAGAACTACAAGAGAACCACTCAACTCTCGTCTCTCAATCTCTCAACCTCACATACATAATCAACTCTCATATTCTCTCTAAAGCCCACTCCTTGTAATCTTTTGCACGGATAAAGACTACGAAACCCTCTCTCTCTCTCTCATCTACTACATCTCTGCTTTTTTCTTCATGGTTTTTCCTCCACCAATAGAAGAATATATATAGGAAAACCAAAACCCTATCTCTAGCATAACTTCCTAATTAAAATAAGATTCAAACTCCCAATCATGATGGAACCCAAACTCCTAATCATGATAGAACTCTAACTCCTAATCATGATAGAACCTAAACTTCTAATCATGATAGAACTCTAACCCTATCTAATTCTCATGAAGTTACGCAGAGAATCAAAGACAAAATCCCAACAATCTCCACCTTAGATTTGATTCCCAAACTCCATTGAAGATATATCATCGTCGTCTTGAAACTTTGTCTCTCCCGCTAGAGTCTTCTATTTCTTTCGCACTTTAAATCAGAACACATGTAGTCCCAATTAGATGCCTTCATGATTGTTTTCGTCAAAAATTATTTTCTTTATTGTATAACTCATTACAACTTTGGTCGTTACAACGAGTTCAAAAAGATCGGTCAAAAATTATTTTCTTTATTGTATAACTCATTACAACTTTGGTCGTTACAACGAGTTCAAAAAGATCGGTCTTTTTATAAGACCTTGTATAACTCATTACAACTTTGGTCGTTACAACGAGTTCAAAAAGATCGGTCTTTTTATAAGACCTTTACATAATAAAAACAAAAATTGCAACTCTCATCAAAACAAACGTAGGGAGATTGTTTATTGGTCTTCTGCTTGTGCGGGATCTTTACCTGTGTTGGGGCTTATCCGTGGACCGCCTATGGATCGGATCCAGTTAATGGAGAATTCGATAGAGCTTCGCCTTCACCGAGGAAGTATTTGATTTGAAATGCTGAGATCGACCAAGCGAAATCAGCACTCTTCTTGAGATCAAGACCAAGCCTGATCTCAAGGAAATGGGGAAGCGGGCTTCAGATCTCTCGAAGTCTCCTTCTTTATGCTGAAGAACTCACCAAGATTTGTCAACCCTCGCTGAAATTCGTGCTCCTTTGACTCCTCAATCAGGTAGCACCTCTCCCTCTTGATAATAAATCCGCCCCCTGTGAAATGAGCCCCTAGGCCTGTACTTATAGGCTTTGATTGGGAGGTTTTTTGGATAAGAATGAGTGATTTGGCCTTATCTTCAGTCAATAACGGTCTAACCATGTTTGTAGATTATATATAGGCAGTTAGAAACCTCTGGAACAGAAGAAACCGATCGAAATAGACTAAAAATGTATTTTGAAGGTTACAGACAGTTCTGGGCATGAGACGGATGTAGGCGTATAAAACTACCTATAGGTCCCTTAGCATAGCTCGGCACAAACCGACGAACCATCGGGTGACGTATTTAAACACGAGCGTCAGTCCACAACACCGAAGCCAAGTGACACACAACGAAGCAGATTAACGAGGCGACGAGGTTAACGAATCGTACGCAAGCAACGAAATGCATCCATTCGCGTGCGGAATCAAGCCAACGGTTCGGGAAGTCAACGAGTCATCTGACCGTAGAACGGATTCGAACTCGAACGCCAAGGCAGATTTACTGCCAAATCAGGATTTAGATCAACAAATCAGAGTCCAAATCAACAGCGAAATCGAAAAACGGCAAAACGGCACAACACCTGGAGGACTCGGCCAAAGCCGAGCCACCTTTAGGTGGCTTGGTGGCCGAGCCACCTCTAGGTGGCCGGCCAGATCTGTGCCCGGGCACAGTTCTGAGTGCCTATAAATAGAGGGGCATGGCTCATTTGTCGAGGGTTGGAACTTTTGGAGCCGAAACTCTGCCGAATTGAGAATTAACTTTGGAGTTTTGAAGACTTGAAGACTTGGACATTCAGATCTGGTTCTTGGTGAGCATCCACGTCACAAAAGGCAGGAGTTTGAAAGAGAGAGAGAGATCAGATCTGAGATCTACACGAAGTAATACTCCGGATCAAAGCTTGGCCTTTGATCCCGAGAGGGCGATTATTTCCTTGGTGAATTAATCCCCCCCGGCTATTATTTCCTTTGCGAAATAATACCCGCGGTGGTCCATGGATTAACCCCGGCGCAGGCGAAGAACCCACAAAAGTGAGAGACCGCAAAACAGGATCTCGCGATTCGTTCGAAAAAGGAAAGTTGTAATCTTTTTATTTTTTCTTTGATTACGTTGTAACCGGATCTTATAAAAAGACCGGATCTTTGTAATCGATAAACAATTACTAAAGAGTGTACAATGACGTCAATGAAAGTTATGATTTTTCCCGTGAACAATCTGGCGACCACAGTGGGAGCCAACGATCTCGCTTCCGAGATCGTCGCGTCGCAGCTGCGGATCTCAATCCCGGTCGAGGAGGAGTTCGAGTATGAATTCGACCAGCAAAAGTTCGAGGAGTATCTGTCATCCTCGTCCGGATCCACCTCCCCTCGCAAGTCCAAGAAGTTCTCCTCCAGGAGAAAAGTTTGTTGGTTTGAAGAAGTTCAGAACGCCAATGAAGCTCTCACCCCAGCTGACGCCATAGTTGCGTCGGGTGAAGTTCCGCCGACCTCCAACCAGGTCAACCCTACTCCCGCCGATGTCTCCACTGTTGAGGGTGTTATCATTCTCTCGAAGAGAGCCCGCCAGAGGCGACGTCAACGCCTTGCACGGCAACTCGCAAAGGCGATAGAGTCCACCGACGGAGTCCGCTATCACGCGGATCTGAAGAGCAGGAGAGGCAAACAGCCTCAACCACCGATGAATGGTGACTTCCCCAAGCCACCAACGAACGAATGTGTCCGTGTCAAACGGAATCGTTCGACACTTGAGGAGCGCATTCGTAAGCGCCGCGCAATGTCAGCGCAAGCACGGGCTCAAGTCCAGGAAGCCCACAGGAGATTGCAGAAGGAGGTGGCGAAGAAACCGCCACCAACCCGCCAAGTCTGGAGGCCAAAGTCTGAAGCGGCGATTAAGGCTAAGGAGCAACCTTTGCAGCCTCCAACCAAAGTTCAACCTTCGGCGAACCAAGCTAAGTCGCCGAGAATTCCCATAGCTACTCCGGGAGATCATGCAGAATCATCCCGAAGGAAGAAGCCAATTTTGGAGCGCCTCGGTCCACTTCCTGAAGGACGATGCAAAGCTCCTGTTCAAGATCGTTTGGGCCAGATGAAGAAGCCCAGAACGACTCAACAAGCTGGGGGTCGCCGTCACCTCCAACATGACAAAGAAATCAGGGCAGCTACGCGCACCAATTTGCGCATTGAAGTCCAGGAGCCCGCTGAGAACTCACGCCCAAAAAGGCATGTTTCGAGGCGCGTAACTTTTGAAAGCCCAAAGAAGGCAGTTCACCCTCAGAAGGAAACATTATCATCTGATGATGATAATGTTATACCTGAGAAGTCGTGCCAACACACGATAGGTTACTCCGTAGGTCAAGCAGACGAATTGTACTATCGTGTTGGGGGTACGAGTAAAACCAGGAAGAGGAGTCCCCGAGAACAGGAAACTCAATACCCCTGTTCCAAACTCATTCGGGCAGTATTGTCTGAGTGCAACTACATCAAGGCGGTCCCCGAAAGAGTTTCGGTTTTCGAAAGACTCAGTACAGAAACACCAAAACCAAGGCCTAGGCGTTTCCGACGAAGAAGAACGGTAGTCGAAGACGGAGAATTTCCGAGAGTCACTACCAATATGAACAGCAAGGGGATATCGGCACGGGATAATCTCGAGTCGATTCTGAAAGCATCCCGGCCTAGAACCCGTCTGCAGTCCGGAACCATCAAGCGATCAACCCATGGTAGGGTTCGGACAAGACTCCCTTCAGAAGATGAAGAATCTGATGCCGGCTCCGCGGTTGCATCAGATAATACGGTATCCAGCGAGGGACAACCCCGCGAGGCACTTATGATAAGTGCGGAACAAGTGGTCAAGATGCTTGAAGATGCTATGGCTAACAACAGGAGACCTTCAGGTTCGAAAAGCAGATGGCCATGCAGAACATGAGAGAAATGCATGACCAACAAATCCAAGCATTGACGAACCAGCAAGGCGAGCCAAGTCGTCGTAACCCGGTTAATCTGGAAGATGAGGATACAAATGCGAATGAGACTCATAATACCAATAATCCTCCCGTCAATGCAGGGGGTGGTAATGAGAATGCTAACGAAAACACAGGTGAAAACTTGAAGATTAAAAATCTCGAGAGCAAAATCAATACATTGATTTCCGCTCAAGAGATGAAAAAGACGGGCATTCCTTGTCTCCTTGTCCGTACCCAAGAGAATGGGAATCGATCCCATATCCGGCGAAGTTCAATCTAATTAACTTCACGCCG